GTCATTCACATAGTACACATGGGCAGGAGAGATTTTTGAAAAAAAAAGACTTTTCATATGTTTTACTAGTAAAAAAAATATGAAATCCGGTGATTTATGGTAGGGCAGTGTATTCCATAGTAGGAGGCACCTTGGATGTAAGGACATCCATTCCCTAAGCCAAGTTCCGGTTTAACTTCTAGATTAACCACCAAAAGATGTCCTGCTGTATCAAAACCAGAGCCATCAGCTGTACAATTGCCTACTTTGACCTGATTCAGTTGCATCTTATAATGTTTATAATAAATTTCATGAAATTTTATCATTCTCGCATTTTCATCTGCAAAAGCTTCAGGCATATGATCTGTAATTTCCATGACAAATTTGGCATCAGTTCGAGTTGGCTGTATTGTTTTGCAATCATCATAGAAAGTTGCAAACAGAGGATGTAAGAGTGTAATGGGATCTCCTTCTGCATTTGCAGGACGATGGTTCAAGTAGAGAGGTTTTTGAGAATATTGTTCGTCTTTCCAACACTTTGGATGACAGAAGGTTGATGGCGCATGTTTTTTCAATGCATGGTAGTAATCATCATCCGCTTTACGTTTTAATAGGTTTTCTGAGAAGAAATAACAAACAGACATATGAAGAAAGGATTGAGCAAAAATGTCTTACAACCCACATTACTACATCTACTCTATCCTATGTACACTACTCTACCCACGCGCACACTACTCTATGTCCCCAACGTCCGAGTCACAAAGTCGTTACCTGGCTGCCCTATGAGTGCAGTCTGCTGCTTCCGCAGCTCTGCCTTTTCTGTGTAGAGTGGGGTGAGAAAGTCCTTCCCCTTATACCCAAGTGCCGTTTCAATTTCTCGATTTTGTTTTCGAGTTTTTTGATTTCCTTGTTGACTTCCTCGATTGTTGTCATGATTGTTTCTAAAGATGTGCTTGCGTGACCGTGATAGGATCTAATATACTAGTGCGATCAGTGGCTTAATCAATGACGTATTAATAGGAACTTTCTAGATTTTTTCACAATGTAACTATTGTTCCCCTATATCGATATGCGGAAGGTGACAAATGATAATCAATGCGTAGAAATTCGCGTTTGTCTAATTATCGTCCGCAGTGTATGATGAACAAACGGATATTTTATTCAGAAACCACAACGCAATAAATATCGTTAAAGCAATACATCTTTAAAGCAATAAAACAAATCTGTCAATTCCCACCAACAACGCTGCGAAAAATGCTTACGTTCACAAGCGAATTCTTTTTTGGAGTATTTATTGGCTTCGTTCTCGGCCTGTTGCTCAATGGCATAATTTATAATAATCAACTCCACAAAATGGGACTATTAACCAAGACCATGAAGTCCAGAAAGTTGTCAAACACGAAACCATCGGCGAACAAAATTTATTCGCCAGATATCGAAACGTTGTGGAATGATTTGAGACAATTATACGATAAAAAAACCGAATCGGATCCAAAATTTTCATTTAAGAAAATGTCTTTCGAAATTTATAAATTACTTGAAGAAAAAGTTGTTGCAGCTTCCACAATATGAAACTTTTATCTTCGACGAACGACTCCGCGGCAATCCAATATTGGATTGACGAAGAGAAGAAGAAAAATGTGAACTACTCAGATATGGAAAACGAAAATGAAGAGATACAGTAGATGATAGTGATAAGAATCTTGTTATTAATAATAGTAAAAGTAAAGAAGATAATGAAAATTAAACTTGCACCGCAAGTGGTATAATAATAACGGACGTTCTTTGTAAATTCAGTCATTAATGAATTTATCGCTAAAATAGTACTATTCTAATCATCTTTCGAATGAGCGCGTACCGACATAATTTCAGGCGAGCAATCAGAAGAGACGATATTTTTGGATATGGATAATAAAAAGTTAGTAAAGATTGCTTAGGTTGTTTTTTATTGCAAGCATATACTCTTCTTACACGTGTGTGGCACGCATCTGCAGTAAAGATAATAAACAATGATGTAACAATGAGGTAAGTAAGCAAATGTTTTTATCAATCTAAAAGATGGAGGGAACTTGTTACCACAAAGATACATGGACTAACTATTTATATGCTTGAAACCCATAGCCTACATATAAATTGAGTTGCTTCAAAGTTAACGCCATGGTCAAATGAGCGCCGACAACCAAACCAAATAAGCGTAGTGCTTTGCTACTTCGACACAAGGACAACTGTGTGTTTCTCGGACAAGTCTAATTGAGTGACCTTGTGTCTAACAAAAAACATGCGAAACGGCAATTGGAATGCACTGATGCAAGGACTACGTGGTATATTCTACAAGTCGGAAAAAATAGGAATTGGGGATATTCACAGTAGAGGTGTCACCACTTTTCTTCCGAATATTAACAAACCCAACAAAGTATGCCCGATAGTGTTAGGTGTTAGTATAGACATTCACACCGCATATATTAACATGTACACGCGCATGTAGTCTATTATACTATACTAATACTTTTTATTTTATTGAATGTCTGAAGCCGTGTCACCTAAACCCTTGGCAATAACCTCAAACCGTAAATGCCCAGCCCTTAATTAATTTTATCCGCGTAATGCTTTCTCCGTTCTTTTAATATCGCACAGATTACGTTATAAAACTTTACTAGCAAATGAAGCGCCAAGAAAACTGATGATTATAAAGCGTTAATAACTTGCACGATTTCACAATCTGCAACGTTCTTCAAGACATACAAAGAATGTTTATTATGCAATACCTGCCTACGCAATTAGTACCAGCATAGTTATCTAGCGTTGAATGCCAACATAGACTCTGTATCTAACCAAATAAAGACAATATCTTATCGTTGTGATGTACAAATAACGAACATTTTGTTTTATTTACTTTGTCCAATTAAAAAAATCTGATTCCGATTTCAACCCAAGACTACATCATACATACACTTAAATTGGTACATTTAGATTGACGCACACAGTTTTGACCTCGGTATAACTATCCAAAACATTTTTTCCATTTTCTCTCCCGTGGCCAGATTCTTTGTATCCACCAAAGGGTCTGCACAAGTGGAGAGAATCAATTATTTGGTTAGAAGAAATGAGGCATTATTATTATAAACAAAAACAATAGCGTTTAGAATGCTAATACATACGCCGATGCATGAGTTAGATTGTAACAATTAACTTTTAAATTTAATTCAACATGTTAGTATACCGTTTCGATTAACTTTGAGCCTGATTTAACAAACAACATAATCTTGTTATTACTTACCCCAAACAGTTCCAGCTTTCAATTTATTCGCAACCGATATTGCCTTGTTTATATCTTTCGTAAACACTGCTGCGGCAAGACCATAATCCGTCATGTGTGCCCGTTCAATAGCTTCATCGACAGTTTTGAATTTATCAATAGCAACAACCGGCCCAAATATTTCTTCTCGCATGATTTTCATAGACTCGTTCTATATAGTTGAGATTAGTAGACGAAAATCTTGCTTGAAAACTTTTCCGCAACCCGGACAGCTCAAAACTTACGACATTGGTAAAGATTGTTGGTTGAATATAATATCCCTGATCGCCGTGTCTTTTACCGCCCATTTCCAAGGTCGCACCTTCATTCTTTCCTGTTTCGATGTACGCCATAACGCTAAATAAAAGGCGTTATTAAGTATAATGTGACCATATTATATCCCCAATTCGCCAATAAATGCATCCATTCTACCTATCGAATTGCTCTTTGGATACTTGTGGCCCTTGATATGTCTCTTTATTGAACGGATCCCCGACTTTGATACTGGCTGCATGTTCCTTGAACTTTTCCAAAAACTCGTCATAAATACTCTCTTCAACATATACACGTGACCCAGCAGTACAACATTGTCCACTGTTAAAGAAGATGCCCATGTGAGCCCATTTCACAGCTTCTTCGAGATCAGCGCTTGCAAATATAATAGTTGGAGACTTGCCACCAAGCTCAAGTGTTACTTTCTTCATATTGCTTGTCGAGGCGGCTCGAAGGATACTTTTACCAACCGCAGTTGAACCTGTTTGGCATGGGCAGAAAGAATAATATTAAGCTTTATCGTGTGTTTTTTAAGAGCCGTTGCTAAACACGTGTTACATACCAGTAAACGCGACTTTTCCTATCTTCATGTGACTGGCAATGGCTTTACCTGCCTCGGCCCACCCAGGGCAAATGTTGACAACCCCTGGAGGAAACCCTGCCTCTTTTATTAATTTGGCAACATACAAGGCACTCAACGGTGTCTGTTCGGCAGGTTTAAGGATAACCACATTTCCTAAAATTTAAATTATACGAGCAAAATTTAACAAGTGCGGATTTTTTTAAAGAAAAATGTGGGGAAAGCGGGGGGAGAGGGAGGGGGAGAGGAGCATACCTGTAATAAGTGCAGGCGCTAATTTCCAAGACAGCATACAAAGTGGAAAGTTGAACGGTATGATGGCACCAACAACACCGATCGGCTCTCTTCTCGTGTACAAGAACCTATCATCGGAACTATCGATCACCTCGCCATTAATTTTTTCTGAAAACCCGGCAAAATACTCAAACGACTGGATCACTATCGGTAGGTCTAGCACCTGGGCGACTCCAAATGCCTTTCCATTATCCAACGATTCGATCGCTGCGAGGATTTTCAAATCTCTGCGAATGAGGTCAGCCAATTTGTATAGTAATCGACCACGTTCGCTGCTGGAAACATGCTTCCAGACATTTTCGAACGCGTTTTCTGCAGCATTGACAGCAATGTCGATGTCGTTTGCGGAAGCTTCGGCAACGGTTGTGATGACTTTGCCAGTCGAAGGATTAATGGTTTCGAACCGTTTGCCGTCAATCGATTCGACAAACTCGTTATTAATGAAAAGTCCTGTGTTAACTACATGTCGTTTTATGGGGTTGTAGCATAAAATGGTATATTAAACCGAGTGATCAATGAGGTGCTAGTACTCCTGAACTGCTTATCAAGATTTCGTGATCTTGACTTACTTTCTACTTTCTGGCCTGTTGGCAATTCAATAATTTCGGTAGGCGTCATTTTCGATATACTTTCTGCCTTGCATCAAGAATTGATGACAAAAAGTCACGGTTTATATATCTGGTCTTCATTCCCTATTTTGCTGCATGTCTCCGAAGAGGATCTTCGATGCGGTCAGTAGACTGGCACACAAATTTAAAATCAATTTGAAACAACGTCAGCGAAGCTTACCTAATGAGGATTAGAAAGAAATTTTATGTCTTAATTTAGTATAAACAGTTTCTTAGAATCTCGGATTTCGCGCATTTCCGATAGTCATAATGACAATACAATAGGTGTTCGAGTTACAAAAAAATATATTGGGTTCAGTTATAATCACGTGAAAATTACTATGACATATTTTATTCGTTGCAATACACACATCTACACAGGGGAAAGGGCATTTTTAATCGCCAACTGTGACAATGTAGTTATATAATATATCGTAATCATCTGCATGTGGAAATATAAATTATAATAAAAATGTACATTAGGGAAGAGTAAAGTAACGATCGCCTAATGTACAAATAATAAATTGTGCAATGTTAGTACGAATTCTGATTGCAAAGATGAAATTGACAGTATTCCATTTAATATTAAAATACTTGGCTCACCAAAATCACCAAGGCCTGGTATAATATATTTCTTTTCATCCAGCCCTTCATCCACAAAAGCAGTAATGATCTTTAGTGCAGAGTGTTTGCTCGTTACTGCTTTTATGCCTTCAGGAGATGCGAGCAGATTAAGAAATAATATTTTATCTTCCTTTACACCATGAGCCATCAACACTTCTATTGCTTTGATGGCCGATCCGCCCGTTGCTAGATGTGAGAGATAAAAAGCCAAAGTCAGTAAGAATGTAAATAGCACGCTGATCTAGAAAAGCGCTTGTATAACAATACAATGCGAACGCACCCAGCATTGGATCCAGTAAAAGCACATAGCGTTTATCAATGTCACTTGGGAGCTTGGCATAGTAGAGCTACACGTATCCATTGGAGGTAACAGAGTTGATAATCTGAACTGGTTTTACCATGTAAACCCCCTAGTCAAACTGTCCTTTTTACCTTGGGCTTTGCCGTATCTTCATCTCTCTGTATCAAGATCTTTCCAATTCTCACACTCCTACGGATCAGATGTTTTAGACACCTTTTGGTCAAAGGGGAGTTTCTATCAGAATGAAAAACAAAAAGAGCGAAACGACTGACCTACAACATTCACGTAACCCTTGTTCCATGGACTCGCCAGCTCTCATTATAGATACACCACATATCTTACCCTTGAATTGAACACCTGCGTAGTCTTTCCCTGTAACGAGACAACTGTCAGGCATTACAAAATACGGATTTTGCTATTTTGACACGAAGGATTACCTGTAGGCGTAGTAACATTCTTTTCGACTACGGGAAGATGATTTAAACCTAAAGACATGGCAAATAAAGTCTTGTCAAACCCAAACGGTTTTGTTTGCACAAGTTATGTTCCAGCACCTGATGTTGTTCTTTACCTTCTTCCACCAAAAGTCTAATAATTCTGTCAGAATAGAAAATGAAATCCCCTCTGGATGTTGTTTTATCTCTTATCAAAGTAAGCAAGGCTTCCAATTGATGCGTCTGGGGGAGGAGGACAACGTTTGGTGAAAGTGCAGTCTAGTAATGAATGTATGTATACACAAGTCAATGTGATTATCGGCACTCTATACAAATATACATGCGACTCTTAGAGAGATTATACCATCTTTTAAGTCAAACTAAGAAAAAGTATTTTTAAATCAAAAAGTCGTGAGTGAATATAATTTCCCAAAATTTTATTTTAGATTTTCGTCAGATTGTACTACCTATTAATAATAAGATAATACAATAATGCATTTATGGTATATGTGTATCGCCATTTTTTATTTTATTTCCTCCATATACATACCACGGTTTTGTTTGTTTGTTTGTTTTTGCCCAGAGTATTCGAATAGCATCAGAACGCCTTACATGATAGAAATAGTTTCTGTACAACTTTTTTAAGAGGAAAGTATTTATATATATATATATATATATATTATATAACGAAATTTCTTTACAATGAAAACCAAAAAAGTATTTACAGGCATTGTTTGACAAAATATAAAAGTATTAGTAAAAGAAGAGCCGTGTCAAAGAAATTTCCCAAAATTTTTCAACCAAAAAAATCTTTTTCATCTATCCCGTCTATTTGAATTTTTCTTATTTAAGTGCGATTGGGAATATCTCATTAAGAATGCTCGCATCTCAAGAAAAAAAAGGGAGAGATCTCTTATACCAGCCAGCCAGCCAGCATTAATATGTCCATCCTCAAACTGTACTCGTTTATCTATATACCTCTTTTTCTTTCTTTTCCTTCCGATACCTAGGATGAATTGATAAATTCATGGAAAAAACCAACGCAAGATAATCACCAGGTAATTTGCCATAGGTTCATTCCGTCGTGTTTTTTTTTTATAAAAAGAAAGGAATTCAACTAAAGAAAAGCAGAAAGTACATTTCGAAAGTAAGCCTCGGATGAGACGTGATATATGTGTTGTATATATATATATTACACGAGCATCGCTTTCTTTTTTTTTTCCTTCAAAAAACGAAGCCCAGAAATTAAAGACATGCTTATTTAGAATTTATAAAATAGTAGAAAATCTGTTCATTACACAACAAAGCGGAGTTGGGAGGGAAATGTAAAAAGATATTAGGTATGTAGTTCGAAATTAATAGAAGCTGGTGAGGTTGTTAAGAATTACTCGCCGGAGTGCTTGCAATCTGCCTAGAGGCATTAGAAGCATAATAATTTGACGGCGATGACAGGGTTTGTGGTTGTAGTGATCGCTGTTGCTCTTCTTTTATATCTTGGTGATGCTGTAGCCCAGCTTGTCCCATTAATTGTTGTGGTATTGGTTGTTGCGGTTGTCGTGGTGATGATGAATGTTGTTGCGGTTGTTGCGGTTGTTGTTGTTGTGATGGTAGTTGTGGTTGCGGTTGTGGTTGTGGTTGTAGCTGCGGCTGTTGCAGTTGCTGATGCTGTGGCCCCGG